GAGCAAGCACATTTGCTCTTTTGGCGACTGTTCCTTGGTTGTTCTGCCCTGTTCCAAGCCTGTCTGAAGAGACCATCACAGGAAATCACCAAAAGCCACAGTCTTTCACAAACAAAATCCTGCCGAAACTTGCTTAGGATGTTGCTGGGTCTATTGCTGTATTGCTGCATTCTAATTATTAGTTTATATGGCTGAGAAGGTTGACAGATTCATGGAACGCAGCAACCACTGGCCGCCAGTGGCGGCCGCAACAGCGCCGCCCCGTCCCCGTCCACCTGGAGGGTTCTCCTGCCATTGGTGCTTTTGATCCCGCTTGCGTATCCTGCGAAGGCAACAAGCGATCTGTGACCGAGCGACGGTCCAAGGGGTCATTCGGCCGGTCGGTCCGCCGGTCCATTGACTTATTTGGACTTATCTGGACTTGGTCACTTCATGGTGCAACCTACAAGCGATGGCCTCCAACCTAGAAGCTGGACCCTGAGAAGATCAATATGTTTCATCTTCAGTCCTTGCAGCATGACTTTGGATTCGAGGTGCTCCCTGGCTGCTCCCAGAAGCACTGCCTCAAATGTCAGGAGTTCCATGCTGTTTGTTGTGACCCGAAAAGCCCGGAAACCGTTTGATTCTAGCAGCATCGCCCTAAAAGACTCCCTCGTTGTCAACTCGCAACAACAACCCACTGTTTGCTTTCGCCCAGTCTCTGTCTCCAAAGATGAAGTGCGGAACGTTTTGCCTGCGCAGACGGCGGAAACGACGTGACAAACAACCCGCAGCGTGTGCAACTGGCGGTGCGAACGTGACAACAGCGGCACCGAGAGAGGAATGCCCACGTGTGATACACAACCGCGGAAAGGCATTGAAAGCCTCCATTTTACGAATCACTGATGCACGCTGATCACTGCGGATTGCACACTGCGGATTGCACATACCAGGCCGGGAGTGTTTCGGCTGGTTGCGACTGTTTCGGTGCCAATTGTTTGGGTCACTTCTTGACTCGCAGCGACTGCGTGGGCCCCTGCAGGCATGCTTTTGCCATGTGTTTTTTGCATTTTTTGTCTGCTAATGTCTTCTACTGATTTTCTGAGAGTATAAAAACTCCAAACTCACCACACATCCATCATCCATCGCATCATCCATCGCATCATCAACCATCCTCAATTGAAAAGTTTAAAATAAACTTTGTACAGTATAGATTTCATGAAAACTTCATCCATGTCGAAAACGACCCCAAACCCAGGCTTCATGCCTCGAAGGCTTAAAAAATCTCCGCTCGTCGATGTCGAAGCTGTCGGCCTCGCTGCCTCCAACGGTCGGAAGAGACGAAGAGGGCGCTCTGGTCGCGCTCGGCGCTCCAGTCCTAGTAGCGTCCTTGCTCCTAGCAATACGGCCAGGAGCCCCTAGTAGCTTCTTGTTACTAGTAGCGATGCCCTTTGCTCCTAGTAGCGTCCTTGTTCCTAGTTTTGCAGAAATTCTCCCCCAAGGCGAATGAAGAATCAAAAAAGCCGAAGTGGATTTGGTTCATATTTGTTGGTCTGTGTTCCATTTCCCTGGAAAATCACACTGAACCGAACTTTCCACCTGTCGGATTTGCGCGGGGAAAAAGAAAAAAATCCAAACAACAAAGGAGGCTTCCCTGCAGGTCCCAGGTCGTTCACTCACTCGGAAGTTGCGGCCAAATATCGTTCGAACGAACTGAACGAACTCCAGGTTTTGGTGAACTCCAGTTCTTGATCTCAAGGTTGGAGGCTATCGCCGGTAGGTTGAAGGCCATCGCTCTTAGGTCTGGGGTCAGCCATTTCTTCGCTTCGCGCTGGGCACGAGTTCCTTGGACTCCAGACCTTGAGATCTCTCCGCCGCCAGCCGCTGGCCCCTGCGCTGTGTGCGTGTCGCCATGTCGACGGGGCATCTGAAAGGAGGTCTCTCAAAACCGAAGAAGGCTACGTGGTCCAAACGCAAAGGAGCTATGTTGTCTCAAAAAAGACCTCGAGATGGACTGAACATGACTCATTTATACCTTGTTTTTGGTCTACATTGTCCCAAATTGCTTCATGATTGTACCATACCTGTCTGTCAGAAAGAGCTCACCTATCGCTCTGAAGAACCTGAACCTCGTGTCAGTGCCTGCCAGCTATTCTGATCTTGGCATTACTAGAATAGGGAGTTATACAGTTCTCTGGCAAATCTTGACATACTTGCAGCGGACTTCCTTGGACGAAAAAGCAACGAATTCAAGTTCCTTGCGTCGCACACAGAAACCCCTCGTGCTCATTCACCGCTCCTTCGCGGATGCAGTATATTGTGCTGCGAGCCGGTACTACTGCCAGCTTCGCTACCTTGGACTGCAGGAATTGTGAGGGCTATGTTATCCTGTGATACATATATACTTACAAAGATATTGATATAGTTTTGACACATTCTGACCACAAAAAGTTACAAAAAGACATCAGAAAAGGCTGACTCGCATTTTCACAGTTTCTGGCCTTTTGAGGTTTATCTCATTTGCCCAAGTCGCTGGACGTGAGATATACCATTGGCTTCCAGAATACTCCAGAGCCCTGGCTCGAGGTGGAAAATTTACCTCGTGCGCAGGCACGAAGCATCGTGCGGAGCTCGTGCGGAGCTCCTGAGAGTTGTTGCGCACTAAACCTACGAGTCATGGCCTCCAACCTATGAGTGATGGCCTCCAACCTAGTAGCAATGGTCTCCACCCTGGGAAGCTGTTTGAATAAGCCCGACCAATTCCACACAGCTTGTGGACCACAAGCCTTGAAATGCTGAGAAATGTTCAGGGAAGCTATGAATTGATTTGTCGGTTTGGCGGTCCGATCGCTTTTCGCGCCACAGCGGCTTTCGGTGTTCGACTGAGTGGTGATCCTATCGGCCTGCAGTTTGCAAAGGTGTCAAGTTCAACTTTCAAGCCACAAACAGATCAGCAACACACTCCGCATGATGACTTTGTTTGCATTCATTCCAGCATCTCCCGATCCTTGAATCAAAGTGAAATGACTGATGTCGTTTCACTGGCAACCAAGAACATAAGGGCCGATGCATGGATTTCTACTTCATTTGCAGTTCAGGATGACAACATGACTGTAATGCACTCAAAAATAGGGCCTTTACCACGAATGTCGGACATTTTGCACATCAGTGAACCTAGAGGTTCCCTCGAGAACGGCAGATTGAGCCAACTGCCTCACGCATGTCCAACATGATGAGGTGAAACGGAATCAAAATGGAGTCTCGGTACGCTCCTGTGCTTCTCAAACTGCTGTTGAGCATGCTGCTGTTGTACAAATGGCCAAAACAGAATTGGACACAAACGTAGAAAATGGCACGTATCCATGAGTGGTCGCATACTACTAGCAATATGCATGTCGTATAAATATCTTATATGATCGGTTGATCAACTTGAGCCAAAGTCACAATCTTGGGCAGCTGTGCAAAAATGATGGACAACCCAAAGGGCAAACCATTATGGTTAACTGTCAAGGACTCATGAGTCTTGAGACAGTTCATCCGAGCCTTTTTAGCTGTTTGGTTTACTTCAGCCTGTTTAGCTATGAGTGCCTCCACCAGTTTTGGGCTCTGACCCACACTGGCGTCCCGCACTGCAAAAGTCCACCAAGTAACTGCGAATCATGTTTGGAGCAAAAAGAAGCATCTGCAACAACAAACACAACCATCTGAGAACCTGCCACAACCATCGAACTAGGCCAATTCGGAGGCTGGAAAGCCAAGTTAGTTGAGGAAGGAACGGTTCCAAGTTGCAAAGAATAGCAGCCACCTGTAGAATCTAGAACTCAGTTCCCCTCACAAAACATGCAAGAACATGTACACAGCCTGCTCTCACCTTTAGTTCACGGGGACCCGATGTGGTCAAGCCTTGCGCCAAAAATACCCACAACAGCAGCAGAAGCACATTCAAATCACAGTCAGCCACTCTGCAAGTCTGAGACCCAAGTTTGAGAATTACTTCGCCAGAACCGGTGGCGCAACATTCATCATCCAACCACACTTCAACTGGGACCGGGGAGGCGCCATTTTTTGGTGAACCAGATTTCGATGCTGCATGCCAAACAACGTTGTTTGCACATCCCTGAACGGCTTCTACAACCGTTGTTTGCAGATTTACGAAAAGTCAACACATATTTGCAGGCTTTGCCTTGAAGCTATGCGCTGTGATGATGATCTTGAAACCAATGTATAAACGTTATATATATGTTGCGTAGCTGCGGAAGATGTCCTGCACCATGTTTCTGCTTCTTCCAGAAATCATATCCGCAGGGTCCGCAGGGTAGCATAGATGATACGTGGCGTTTTCGCACTGTGCGTGGAAAACCAATCCAAAGTCCGAACACAAATGAACGCACCTGATGTTAAACCAGCACCAATCAGCCAGGTTATCAATAGCCTGGCTGCCTTCTCTAGCAGCTCTAGCAGTGCTCAGGGGTTCTGCCTCGGAGAGCATGCGGCATCATGATCAAACACCACCGCGCCTAGTAACTTGTTCCAAGGTAGTTTGAAAACAATCATGTAAGATGTAGGAAAGAGTGGCATCTGCAATCTGATTTCTCCAAGAGAAGTGTCAAACTAGGAAGATTTGTCCAGGCGACAGTGGTACATGAGGCCACACCTTTTGGTCAGCAGAATGCATCCTCATCAGCAAAGGGACCAGAATCTTGAGGTGAAACCTACAGTAAGTCTTTGGAGAAAAGGTCTCTTCCATGTGACCCTCAAGTTCTCACTGCCTCTTCCTTTGCGGCAAAACCTCGGCTCAGCCTCATTCGTCTCATCGATAAGTGCACGGACCTCGAATCACTGGCGCTTCTGATGCTTTCAACTAGCTTTGCTCTTGCTGTGACCTGTTTCACGACACAAAACGCTCACCCCACTAATTATACAATAACATATAACATACTGTAGTATCCTTCTGCACCTTGAACAATCAAGTCCTAAGCCCAAGTCAGAAAATTATGCAATCCAATCAGTCTCAGCTTTCATCAACGTGGCAAGCCTCGCACACGGATCTCCTCACCATCGCAGTCAGTTGTAAGCTTGTCTTCATCGACGTCTGCAAGATCAATCCACACGACTGGAATGGTGACCTGCAGCAATGCAAGTGGTACCCTTTCAAAATGGAGAAGTGCCATGCTGCTGTACTGTACACGATCCATAAATCAAGCAAGACTTGCACATCGACTTGCGAACAACCAAAAGCACAAGTGGCGCCTCATCATATGATCGCTCTGCAAATTTCTGGAAGACGAACAGCCGTCGATTGTCCAAGCTGTACGTGTCTGTGCTCAAATTGATGTCACCCTGAATCTCACCGTCAATGTCAGTGCCATCCCGAAGGAACACTCTGATGGGTGGAAAGTCTTCAACGAAGAGTTCTCCTCTTAAAAGCTCATCAATGACATCCTCCAGCGGGATGCCATTCCTGAACTCAGATAGGATGCTATCCTGACAAAAACGGATGCTAGCTGGCCTCATATGATTTGGCAAATGTTCCTCAGACCTGTGGTATGGACTCCAACGGATGGATTCGGACACGGATCTATCATCTGGTTCGTCCGAATCGTACAGCTGAGAATTGCTCCAAAGCCCATCCGAAAAGCTTTGACCAGCTGAGGAAGAAGAACAAGAAGACCATGACATGGCTTTGACTTGTTGAGCAGTGGCCAAGCTGTTTCAGCCGAAAATCTTGCAAATTCCAGCCTGAAGGCCTCATCGTGTTGCAAGACTCGGTGTCATGTCTTTGTGTATATCCTGGCCTAGACGCAAGGCAGCCAAGACCACAGTGACAGTGCAAATATCTTTTCTTTCAAGATTGAAGAATGCAAAAATACACCATCACTACTGACTACAGCGCAGTAGACTCACAGCAATCATGTCAAGGGAGCTGGGTGTGCGAGCGATCCAAATCCCAAAGGTGTGCATCTTCGCTCCACGGCCCATCCGGTGGGTGTCTTGCGCCGCCAAATGAGGCGAGAAGGGCCATGAAATCGACCTCAAGACCTGTCCCGAATGACGACACAAGGGAGGAGGAACCAAAGTACGTCGAAGATGCAGAAATGCTGCAAATCTCATGTGCAATGAGCGGCATCAAAGTAGGGTCCCCTTGTCCATTTCTAGATTGTGCCCAAGAACGATACCAAGTTCTGTTCGCCGTCCTTTGACCTGCACAGAAATTGAAATAACCCTCTGACCGCCTCTGCCCTCTGCTTTCAGGTGGGCATGAAGAATTCGTACACCTTGGTTCAATCACTGACCCCACCTCCCTGCTCACCTCCAGGAGGATTCAAGGCATGTTGTTTCATATCACCCGAAAATAACAAACCCCTCCCCTGGCACTGCGACACCAAACGGCGGCCAAACGAAGTGGCCGTCATATTGTTCCCAAAGGATCCCAAAGGTGTTTGATAAAGCATGTTAAAACTCATCAGAATACATGATCCACCTCAAAGGGTCATCCACACCCACCAAAAGCACCACCCGAAAAGATAGAGAGCGGGCAGCTGTGGCAGTGCGCTTTTTGGCCCATTTGCTATGACAAATGGACTATTTATATTAATCTATATATATATACCGAATTCAATTGTAGTTTAATTCTAATTCAGTTCTAATTCAACCCTACATCTTTATTCAAGCTTCTTTCAAATTCAATACTAATTTAGAAAGGAAAAAACTAATTCAAATCCAATGTATATACTTCCATTCAAACCTAATTTCATTTTATTAAAATTCAATTTTAGAAACAATTTTCATTCTAATTTAGTTCGTGTTTAATTCAAACATGATTATTGTTCAAGTCTAATTTAACTCCAGAGAGCAGGTGTTGCTGGGGGTGTAAATTTAAGACAAAATGCTATAAAATCATGTGCTTTACAGTGTTTTCTTGCCCTGGGAGTGCTGGGAACTAGGTCAAAACACTGCTTTTGAGTAGGCAAATAGATTTGTTCAAGTAATATCTGGAATAATCATTTCTATATTAAGAAGCTTTGTATAAAGGTTTCTACGTCTAAAGTGTTCCTCTAGATCTCTGGAATGGTCACTTCTATAACAAAATATTTAACCGCTGCTACTTCAAGAGCTGTCCTCTTAATCTCTGGAAATATATATATATGTATTATATATATATATATATTGACATTGAAAAGCTATAGTTGAAAGCCTTTTTGTTCAAAAGCTTTCCTATAAATCTCTGAGAATATGCATTTCCATATTTAAAAAGCCATGTATATAAGCAATTGTTTTAAAGCTTACTTTTTCGTTTCTGAGAATAATCACGTCTATAGTTAAAAATGCCTTTTACATTGTAAGTGTGAATTCCAAAAGCGGTTCCCTAGATTTCTTGGATTGATCACTTCTATATTCAAGCCTAATATAAAAACGTGCATTTCAAAAGCTGTCCCCTAGATCTTTGGGAATGATCATTTGTTTAAAGATTGTGTATAGAATAGAAGCTGTGTATTTCAAAAGAAAGGATCTCTGGGAATATATATTCTATTTAGTGCTATTCACAAACTTGCCTCTAGATCTCTGGGACTGATCACTTCTATAGTGAAAAGGTTGGAAAGCTTTCATTTTATAGCTTTCATCTGGATCTCTAGGAAAGTAGATTTCTTAGAGATGTGTGTGTTCATTAACGTTATGCAATGTATATTTATCTGCCACTTGAAAGAAAAAAGAAAAACGATCCCTTTTCTGGAAAACATAAATACATGCCCCATGGTGCAAAACCAAAAAACCTTGAGAAAACACACATATGTGGTTTTTTAAATGAGAGTCTTGACTGAACCCTCCCACAGAGGAAAAACGTCTGAAAACATTGTATTTTTTGTGTGTTTTAGCTTGTTTTCTTCAAGAATTGTCCACAAAGTGCAGAATCTTCTGCAGACTGCACTCCTGGCAGTGCAGTTTTCTTGACAAAGGTTAACAGAGTGCCCTCCTTGCAGTGTAGTTGTCTTGACAAATCTTAACAGGCGCCCTCCTGGAGTGTTCTTGACAAATGTTGAAACTTGCAAGAAAACTTGACAAGTGTCAAGAAAGCTGCACTACCAGGAGAGCACTCTGTGGAAAATGTTCGACCCTGTGGACAAATACCACAAAAACAAACAAAAACAAAGAAACATGTGTTCAGAGGCTTGTCCTCTGCGGGGGTTTCAGTCAAGACTCTCTGAAGTATATATGTTTTTTATTTTGGTGTTTTTTGTTGTTTCTGTTTTTTTTTGGCATATTTCATATTTTGTCAATTGGTCAGGCATTCCTGCTGGATGCAACTGTTGTACAGCCATTTTTGGCAGTGCAGTTTTCTTGACAAATGTTGACTCAAAAGAACTCAAATTTACGAGAAAACTGCACTGCCAGGAGTGCCCGCTATGACAAAATATTAGTCAGTGGGTTCAATCATCCCAAGTAAAGGTTGAAAGTAAAATCTCTCAAACCACCACCTAGCTTTCACTGTGGACTGTCTTCTCACCTGCCACAACCGGAATGAGACTGCGGGATGGCCCACCATGGCTCCACGTCGCATCATTTGAGCAGCACGCGAAAAAATGTTGAACTTCAGATCTCCTCTTCAGGACGTGTCTCTGGTCTTTTAGGCGCTTCTGACAGTTTCTCATAAGATTCTTGGGATTCTCGGAGACCTTCAGGGTGGAGGACGTGTGGGAACAAAATTTGTGATACGCTTGATACCGCTTGATGCTGTTTCCGCTTTCCAGCCGGAGAAACATGGCTGCATCCATCGAAGCACATCCACGATCCATGTGCCAAGCACGGACTTGGTGTTCGGCTTGGACATGCGTCTCGAAAGTGCCGTGCGAAATGCGGCGTGAGATCTCTGGTGGCGAAATATAGCTTGGATCAGCGTTTATGGTGAGTTTGGTCATTGAGGCAATGTTCAATTACTCTCATCCACCTCCGCCTCGCCCCTTTTTGCTGCCGCTTGAGAGGGAGTGTTTCCTCTCTAAAGCTGAAAACTGAAAGTTGAGAAGGGAAGCAAAAGTGAATCCAATGTGATCCATACTGTCCACACAATTTGTCCATGTTCATTCTGCAAGTCGGGAGTGGACCGAATCTTCGTTCGTTCGGTCTCAGCTAGGGACCGATCTCGTTTTCTTCCTATGGTTTCTCCGACTAGCTGATAGGTGAACGGCTCTGTTGCCCCAGGAGTTTTCCCCTCCTATCATCCTTGCATCTTTTTTCTGGCACATTTTCGTTTTTTCCGCCTTTCTCTCCCTCTCCCTACCTCCTTTTAGCAGTAGTGAGCCCTGTCTTTACTTCGCCCCGTCTTCCTTTGGAAGGGGCGTTCCCCTCTGTTAGGTGGCTGTGTGTGTTGCACGGAAGGCCAATTGGGATGGGGCGGAAAACACCCCACATATGCTGAAAGAAAGAAAGAAAGCGTGGAGGCACACCATACATATCTTGTGTGAACACCAGTAACACCCGGTCCTAAGGTCGCAGACATGGGCGCTCCACCATTTTTTTCGACTGGACAAAAGCACCAAAATGCGACACAGAGAAACACCTGTCCCACGGAATGGAGGAGCTCGCTCAGGAACCAAGGTCTGGAACGTGGTGCCCCCCAGCCTTCCTTCACCCCTTCCCGTGTTTCCATAAATCAGCAAGATTATGAGAACCACTTCATTTTCACCACAGCCACTGCCAACCAACATTTGTTTTGCTAGTAAGGCGCGATGCAAGGTCTGAGCCAACCGTCACACATAAGAACAATGGTGAGAACTGTGCAGTCTACCACTGCCAAGCAGCAACCACACACGTTCCTTGGGACTGTGAAAACACACGGACAGCGCAGCAGTCCTTTCTCAGTCCCGCTCTTGAACCAAAAGCCCAGCATTGAGGCTTTCAGCGAAGCGTTCACGTAGCCAAAACAAGTCACAACTCTCTGACTCTTGAGCTGCACAGTCCAAAGACAAAGCAGGCTCCTCTAAGTACAAGAACCAGCAAAGAAGTCAACCAAGACCACTCTGGTTGAGACTCTCCCAAAACGTCAAACACAGTGGCGAAGCCGCTGCGGTAGTGTTCTCTCATGCCATCATGACATGTCTGGTCTACATGAGTCTGTGCAGTCAAGTCTGACACCCTGCCTTTTTTTGAGAAGTGTCTAAACTGCTCAAAACTCCATTCACAGTTCGGTTCCTATAGGGCCTACTGCGAGTTTTCGTCTCCAACAGGCCTACAAATTATAATGCCTCTCATGGCTCTCAGTTCCTCTCATGGCTCTCAGTTCTCATCCTTCTGGTTGTTGGTTCTCATCTCTTGGATCGCCTTCCTCGTCTTGGTCAGCAAAGCGTCTCTTTGCTCGTGGATGTGCATCAGCTTGCCTCGAACTGCTGTTTGTTGGACTTGTCACACAAGTCGAAAGTGTCACATTCGGCACAGGGTCCTTGCCATGTGGCTTTCTTTCTCTTCCATTTTAATGAGCTGAAGAAGTTGTCCACAGTCGAAAAATGCTCGGTGAGCAATAT